ACATTATCTCCCTCCGAATTATTTAGGCATTCATCTGAAACTAATTTTTCTTAATATATGCGTAACTGTTCCTTACTACTTAATAAGCTTTCTTTTTTTCCGTGTCTAAGTGTATAAGGCGTTGCTTTTGCAACTTGCTCGTATTGTCAGAAGCGAACTCATCTTGTATTTCGTATTGAGTAGGTTTTATACACTATTAAATCAGATCGATGAGTTATGTTCACGTTATTTCGCTTAAAGTGATGAAGGACTGGTAATTAGATTTTCTAACAATGATATGAGTTGAGCTCACGTTTCCCTTGAATTTCACATAACCTTGCTTTCCCAAAATGTGTTGGCATTCAGGGTGAACTGCAGTTCCTACTTCACAGAACTTTTCCACATACTCAGCTGAAGTCGAATCATGGCAGTGCAGCGCGTAAGCTCGACACGTTAACCACTACGTCACTTTCACGCGACTGTCTATGGTTCACAGGGAAGATATGAATTTCATTGAGCCGGGTTTTTTCTCATATCACATTATGTGGTGGGGTTGCTGATAAAGCAAACTTATATTTGTTATAGCAACCGACGACATTACTTATATTTCGTTTTTAGTAGGTTTTCGAAACAATTCATAGATCTCATTTAGTGGTATGGATTGACTTTACTTGTATAATTGACGAGCTGTAGTGTGGTGTTAAGACTGGTAAGGCTTATTGATGATACCGGAGTATCATCTGGGAATGCACCAAGCCACCTTCCGACTGGAAATTATCATTCGTGCTATAGACTCCGGACAAGGTGCATTCCTCTGAGTCTCCCTGACAATACGACCAAGTTACGTAAACAAGGTCTAACAACTCCTATACAATAAAAGGAGACCACGACCATACTTAAGGCCATACCATCTTGTTCTTCATACCTTCAAATACTTATTTATTTGTTTCTTATCTCATTTCTTAACGTATAATGCAATCGTTTTAATAAAGAGATAGATACCTTAGTGGCTACTAATAATTTTCAGTGTACCTAAGGATCGGACCTTGAAAAACTGATATAAGGATAATTTTTTATCATATAGTGGCATTTTCATTATTTATACTCCTTCAAAATATTATTGACCTAATGGCAATATTGCATTTAACCCTTGTAATCGGAATAGAAGTAGACCGAAAATTTCATTTTTTTCAAATATACGAATAAATCTGTCGATTAAAAATGGTTTGTATTTGCAATGATCCTACGTTTAAAGTTGATTTATTTGTCTATAATGTTCAAGTCATGCTTAGTGTTTTCTCTTAAAGCATTTATCTGGTATCGAATTTACTTTTCCCCCTCTCACCTAGCCTTTTTTAGTCAAGATGTCATTAAAGCATTGCTACAGCAGTCTTGCTTGCTGCAAGGTTACTCACCTTACATTTAAATATGCGAATGTTGATGCATATCTAATTCTGAACGCATTTCTTACAGCATGATCATCATATTGGCTGCCTTCCTCGCGTTCTCTACTCCTGGATTCTACATTGGCTTAACTTGGACCAGTCTGTCTCTTGCCTTCTTTCTCATTCGCTCATTGAAACTTCAGGTGCTACCGCACGCCGAGCAGTATCCTGCGGAGGGTAACAAGCGCCGTCTCTATTTTCTGCTCATGATCGCACTTGTTCAGCCTTTCATAATGTGGTGGCTGACCAGCACTATTGCCTACGGACGTTGGCTGGGAGCTTTCTCTTAGTCATTTGCTTGTCTAATCGCCCGTTATATCTGAGTTCAACTTATTATTTTAGCTAAGGTGGCTGCTACGGATTTATCAGGCCACTCTACTTCGAAGTCGATACTGTATGATCTAGCTAAGTCGGTGTTCGTTGTGACGTATCGTCTCTATCAGACATTGAAGGATCATAACTAAATGTGTCTTATCTATAGAAATGCTCAATATATATATATGACAGGACATTGTATATATTGAACAATATACACACATCAATACATACATATATTATTTATTAATTTATTTACAAATTATCTTTAAAACACTTGTGTGTGATAACGCTCAATTACTCAGCCCGGCTTCATTTACGTCCGAGAAAATGTAGAATTAAAAAAAAATTCAGGTTCGTCAGAGTTTTGTCTTATCGGCACTTGCCAATAAGACGTCGCCATTTCATATGTATCTCCCATTCGCTTGCCTCTTTATTTTTTCCTTCTGCTGCTGTCTTATGTTCTTGATCAAGTTAATTTTTCTTTCCTACCTATAACGGTACTTCGGGTTCGTTGAAATCGTATTTTTTATATATTTTATATGTATAAATCATCAGCCTTCATTGGTGTCCTTTAGAGCACGAATCGGATACTTAATCTTGTGTAACTGATGTTTTCTTTTCAGCTTGAAGGAGATCGGTATAGCCACTCTCTTTTCCCGCTTTTATTAGCCAGTCAAATTTAATAATATTTACTCGCTTACATCGCTTACATCTGAATTTTGCTCCCAACACAAAGTTGAATCAAAATTACTATCACTTAGGACTATGGCAGTTTATGATATCTCTGGAGTTTTTTTAGCTTGCTGAAAAGTTTCCATACCTAATATTGATTACTATTGTAATAATTTTGAAGTGTCTCCTTTATTTTTTTAGACGAGGTGTATCTAGGTGGACTAACTTTTTTGTGAATGAACTAATTAGCTCTTTGCTGGTGTTCTCTTTTCTAGGCTTTATTTTGAGCATACCCGTTGTAAATCCCGAAGAATTATATTATCATGATGATTCTGCTGCTTGTAACTTTTGCTTTTTCCAGCTTTGCTCATGTACATATAAGAATTGTGTATTAACGTTATATACATAAAAACAGGCATGTTTACCTGCAACTCTCCTAAAAATTCATAAGATTTAAGTGATTGTCTTTAAGTAAATAGGTATTGGTCGCTTGGGTAACTGTACACTTTTAGACATGAGGAATGGATTTGATTGCTATATTTTGATCACTGGACCGGGCCTATCGTTTTGTTATTAATTTGTAGTATGCAAGTGGTCCGCAGATATTTAAATTTTTTCTTTTATATTGGTCTTCATATCTATTTCCGGGTTTTCGAGGGTCCGGGTTACTATAGGTTTCCTTGTAGGCTAGAGTCTAAGCGTGTTTCTACAGTCTGCTCTTTGTTTTCATGTTTTGCATGGCTCTGCTGAACAATACAGACCAGATATTGATTGTTGGGGTATGAAAAAGAGATGGGACGAATTATTCGATTGGATATAACAGATATCCCGAAAGATTGCTATACATGTGGCCATATAATCGGTAACCATCGTCGCGACACTGCAGCCATAATTTATCCCCGTGACGGACTTCTAGGATCACGTGGTTGGTTACCGTGGCCCAGTGCGTCTCCTCACACCAAGCGAGCAACTTCGGCTCACCGTTGTGCATTAGGCGAGCTCCTGCCTGTAATAAAAATAATATTTAGCTAAATGTGTGCATTCATTGCTGTGTCTGATAAAATATGCAATTACGGGTTTGGGTACAAAAAAAATATTCCATTAGTCGTGGGTGGGAATAGTTAGGATTCGATTGGTCTTCACAAGTCTGGTGACAACTAACTTATATTCAAACATACTTGAAGATGAAGGCGTTTTGGGTAGCGGTCGGTGGTATTATTAATAGTATAAGCATTATCGAGAGCTTACTTGCATCTTTACCCAATTTAGCAAATGTTATATACTTTTTCCATGATCAGAATCCAGACTATTACAGGGCAAATATTCCCTCGTATGCTTTGCATAAATATGGAATCCTAGTGCGACTGAAGGGTCTACTATTGCAATTCGTAAATATTGTTGTGCCCTATATGCAGGGATCGAACCAGTGATTATTATGAACCGGAGCGATTTCCGTAATAAGCAATTAGCCCCTCCTATTTCGTGGGGGACTTAAGGTTATATTGAAACCTTGCACTTGTTTTCTTTGGGCAGCTGAATGCTAATGGAATAGTACTAGTAACTGCTGCCATTTCGCTTGAGCTATTGGCGGAACGGAAGGTAAAACATTTCCTTAGGGGTTATGTGACGGAACTTCTCTTTGCAAATAAGCAATTAGAAGCATGAAATGTCCTGGTATTTAGCAAAATTGCCATTTGCTTCTCGTTTGTCTATATTTGGATGAAGCCATCTGATGATAGTTCTAAGGCTTGTCCTAGACTTACAATTATTTTGAGCTGCACTACACTATGGAAGTTTAAAAAGCGTCTTGTTTCTGCTTATAACTAGTTGTACCCTTTATCAGAATTGTTTAGAACAAGCCTACTTGGCGTGAGACAGTGTCGCTTCCATTTCTGCATTACGTAGAGGGTCTGTTCATGAGAGTCCACTATATTCTACAAAACAAGTTAGAATATTCCGGTTCAGTAAAGTACATTTTAAACTGACTTGTAGCTCCCAGCATGTTAACGGATTATGAGTCAGACATTATGAATGCTTATCCTATTCTCTAGAATTCAGCATCATTTAAAAGCCTTTCACGATAATCACTTTTTTGCTATTAATATAAAAAAAATTTTTAGCTGTAAAGGAGAAAGACATGTTGGTAATCCTTATCACAAGAAACTTTAAAATAGTACTGAGAGATGTCTAGAAGATTAACTTCCAGTTTTTATCCGCTGCTATTTACTATTGATAACCATCAAAGCATGTAAGACCAAAGTTTAGTTTAGACGAAACAATTGGGGCACAGCGATTCATCAATTTTTTCGTTATTAAGCAGGTTTTAGAGACTACCAGTGAATCAGATATATGAGAGGTGTTCACCATATTTCGTTTAAGGTGATGAAGGACTGGTAGTTGGATTTTTACATAATGATATGAGTAGAACTGACGTTTCCATTGAATTTCGCATAGCCTTGCTTTCACAAAAGGTGTTATCATCCAGGCTGCAGATTCGACCTCGCTTATGTCTTGTCAGCACCCACAACGAGAGTCGAACTATCACAGTGCAGCGTGTAAGCTCGACATGTTAACTACTCCGCCACATTGCCGCGACTGCCCTTGGGTCGCAAGGCATATGGGAATTTCAACGAAGGTCAAGCATCTTCCATATCACGTTCTTTTTTGGCATTGTCAATAAAGCAAACTTTTATTTGCTAGATAAATCGACGAGATTACCTTTTCGATATTGAGTAAGCTTTCGAGGCTACCCTTAAATCAGATATATGAGATGTGCTTACCCTAAACGTCAGCTCTACTCATAGCTTTGTGGGAAAATTCAGCTACCAGTCCTTCATCACCTTAAATGAAATAGGGTAAACACATATCATATATGTGATTTAATGGTAGTCTCGAAAACCTACTCAATGAAAAAAGTAATGTCGTCAATTACTAAAGTAAATACAAGTTTCCTTCATCGACAATCCCGACAAAGAATCAAATATGCAAGATGCCTGACCTTCGTTAAAATTCACATCTGTCTTGTGACCCAAGGACACTCATGGCAATGTGGCGGAGTGGTTAATGTGTCGAGCTGACGCTGCATTGTCATAGTTCGACTCACGCTGGGGTGTTGATACGACTTAGGCGAGATTGAAACTGTAGTCCACCCTGGATGAGAACACCTTTTGGGAAAGCAAGGCTGTGTGAAATTCAATGGAAACATTAGCTCTACTCTTATCATTGTGGTAAAATTCAGCTACCACCTTAAACAAAATAGGATGAACACATCCCATATAACTCGCCATCAATGTCAGAAAAACCAAGCCTGTATCACATTATTGAGGAGTGGACCGTCCCTAACGAGGATGCTAAACCTGCGACCAGAACTTAGTAGGCTACTTTCAGCAGACTAATCTCAAGAAAATAGAGCATATGGAACAAGGCAACGTCAACTTGATTGTGTCTGAGGGCAATT